TGGAAAATTTAAAAAATTATATGTATTTGATATTAAAGAAAATATTACATTTCTAAAGTTGATTTATCTTCCTAATTTTATTTCTATTAGTCAGTATAATAAAACACATCTAATATACAGCACTTTAATATATACTATCTTCTTTAATCCTCCCAATATCCCTGTGAGGTGGTCAAGAACAGGGTATTATCCTTAAATAAATGAGGGAAGTTAAGTGATTTGTATGGTCTTACAATAAGTAGCAAAACTGGGATCTCGAGCCAATAAGATCTATATATTTTTATTTTCTTTAATTCTTGGTAAAATTTTGCCTTTTATGAATATATTCCTTATGAGAAGATAACTCAAAATAAATCTAGCAAAATTTTTTTCAACTAATGTCAAGTAGAATAATCTACCAAACTTTAAACTCCCAATTTATCTAAACAACTCATAAGCACCTCTGACTAAATAAGCAACTTTCCAACAGGGTCCCAGTATTTTTTTTTTTTTTAATATGAAAAGGAGACATTTATTGAAGAAGATACAAGATACCAGAAGCATTATACATAGAACAAAGACAACTCAGTCCCCTTCAAAGTAGGCACCCTGGGACTCCACACAGTTCTCCCAGTGTCTCTTACCCTAATCCGCACATGTTCAACATTGTCAGATGTTCTGCTTGTCGTAAGCCTTCCAGGATGTGGATCACTTTCAACAGATTCTCGACCATCTTTGAAGCATTTCTGCCACATTTTTATTTCTGCTGCACTCATTGCATCGTCCCTGAAAGCCTTCTGAATAATGCAAATAGTTTCCGTGGAGGAACGTTCAAGCTTAACACAAAATTTGATGCAGATCCATTGCTCAACTTGCTCAGTCATTTTGAATGTGATGGCCGCAGAATTCATATGTTCACTCAATGGCATCTAGCACCTCACTGACTAGTACAGTGAGGTTGTCTTAATCACCTTTATAACTCACCCGGCACCTTCATTCCCATCTCCAACCCATAATGCTGATTGCAGGCCTGGACAGATAAAAAACAGAAAGTTGATTTTTCAGCATATGAAACTGAGGAGTTTATAAACTGAAGAGATGTGGTAAAATTTAATCTGTTTTACAGTTAGTCTTTGCCACAATGTTTGGGGAAAGGAAGCTTAGATTTACTTCTTCTAGTTTGTGTGTGTGTGTGTATATATAGATATCTAGTTCATGTGTGTATATATATCTTTATGTTCATTTCACTGTGAAATTGTTACCACAAGGTATTTTTAATTTTGCCAGGAAATGGTAACTGAAGCTTCTACTTACCTGTTTCATGCCACCCAACAAAGAGCTTATTTCAGGAATGTAAGCATTTTAATTCCAATGACCTGGAAGTCAAAATCTGAGTACTTAATGCCAAAACAAGAATCATATGACCAGGTACGTTATTTAATCTAGCTCCTAAACTACTTCTTTCTTCCTGTGCTTTTAAAAATAAATACTTGTAATTTTTTTAGTAATTTCTAATCACTAATTGAGTAATTAAATCAGTAGTACAACTTAATGTATATGGAAAAAGTTCTTGTTTCTAAAATCCCTTGTTTCTATTGCTATTGAAATTTGGTTTTGTTCATTTGTTCTTTTGCTTTTTTAGGCAGATGTCATAATTGCTAATCCTTATCTGAAATATGGAGATGATCCCTATACACTTCAATATGGACAATGTGGAGAAAAAGGACAATATATACATTTTACCCCAAACTTCTTGTTGACTAATAATTTGCCTATGTATGGGCCTCGAGGTAGGAATATCTGTTTTATACTTCTGCTCTTATTTCCACTGGAAAAAAATAACACTGTAATTAATGGTATTTTAAAGATTTAAGAAGAGAAAAATAGGTATTAAGTATTACCTTTATTTGGAAATATGCTAATTATGTTCAACCTCATTATATTTCTTTTTGTGCATGTGTGTTTAATAATAAAATGAGTCACTTATTGGCACTAACCCATTTCAACTTTTTTGGCCTAATGAAAGACATCAATTTCTGGAGTTCCTTGACTCAGTTAGGTTGGGGAGATGGGGCAGGGAGACTTAAAATATAAGGAAACTGTCTTCAAATATTGTAAGTATAAATTTTTAAGTGGCAATATTCTCTTATAGGCAGAGTATTTGTTCATGAGTGGGCCCATCTCCGGTGGGGAGTATTTGATGAGTATAACATGGACCGGCCATTCTATATTTCCGGAAAGAACACTATTGAAGCAACAAGGTATCATTGTACTGAACAAATCTGTTTTCAAAACTTTTCACTTATGCCTCTTTGATTTTCTATACTAGGCTAACAAAGGCTATCTCAAGTGGTTGAATATTCATACAGTTAATTGCAATATCCAACCTGCTCCATTATCTATGTGTCCAATTAATTCTGGGGATTCCACAAAATCAGTCAGGAATTGGAAATCATTTCAATATTCATGGGGATGGTACTAAAATATGTTAAGGGCAGAGGAGAAAGGAAAAAGCTGTAGCCTAAACTCCAAGATAGCTGAGATATCCCTTTTGTTCTGTTTAATTCATAACTTTTTAATGTAAATCTGTTTCACTGAAACTAATTAAGCTGCTAGACCTTCATGGTAAATATAATATTATACTTTTTATATAATCTTGATCTTAAAGAAAAAGTATTTC